ACAACTGTACACACCGGTTATACGTGGACAACTGTACACACAGGTTATACGTGGACAACTGTACACACAGGTTATACGTGGAGAACTGTACACACAGGCTATACGTGGAGAACTGTACACACAGGCTATACGTGGAGAACTGTACACACAGGTTATACGTGGAGAACTGTACACACAGGTATTATGTGGACAACTGTACACACAGGTTATACGTGGTGAACTGTACACACAGGTTATACGTGGAGAACTGTACACACAGGTTATACGTGGAGAACTGTACACAACACTTGGTTAACCCAACTCAACAGCTGATGCATGAAAAACTGAACACAATAATGTAATTGTGTGGTACGGTTTTGTGACAGCGTTATTCATTATAACACATTGTTGATATTGCAATCATCATAACATAATCTCGTAGTTGTTTTCATTGCTTCTATTAAGATTCGGCAAAAGGGAGCGACGTGCTAGTTGTGAATATTGTGGCAGTGTTATTCCTTCTGTAACAATGTTCCAAGTGTATAACATATTAAACAGTAGGAGGCAGGGGTGTGCTATATTTAGACTTGTGCTATACAGAGTTCTGGAGAGTGCTACAGGGGACTACAGGGTACTACAACCCTATGGCCCCGTGAAGGTCCGGGTTAGAATATTGATCTTCACTAACCCATACATGTCGTAAGGGGCGACTAACGGGAAATCGGGTGGTCAGGCTCACTAGCGAGACTTGGTTGGCACATGCCATCGGTACCCAATTGCGCAGATCGATGCTCATGCTGTTGATCGCTGGATTGTCTGGTCCAGAGTCAATTGTTTACTGACCGCCGCCATATAGCTGGAATATTGCTGGATGCGGCGTCAAACTAAACTCACTCACTCACTCCACTACATTCTGACCCATGGAGTACGGGAATCTCCTGGAGTCTTTTCCCTAACAACATATGGGAGGTAGCTCTTGCCTCTCATCTCACATAACATCTTGGAAGACCTGCGGCTCTGTGGATGCAAATCACTCTCACCATGGATACAGAGTCTTTTTGGGGAAACTTGATAATTGTTGCAGTGAATATTACAAGAGCTATAATCACTGCTGTTGTATCATACCGCCTTTGAGTTTATACCCTCGTTCTGTTTTGTACTGCCTCTGTCACACATTTGTAGTAATTTGTAAAAGTATGTAAGCTTAGTTAATTTTAAAATATAATTGTCAATAACATCCCATGGCATTGGTATGTCACACAAATTTCTTTTTTACGGACTAATTCCCGGTCAACTTTTAGCTTCAACCTGGGAGTCAATACGTTACAGTGTTTAGACCAGAGTCAAAACTTCTCTGAAAGGTTCTAGAACAGCTAGGGGCGGTGGGGTAGCCTAGTGGTTAAACCGTTCGCTCGTCACACTGAAGTCCGGTGTTTGATTCCCCACATAGGTACAATGAATGAAACCTATTTCTGGTGTTCTCCGCCGTGATATTGCTGGAATATTGCTAAAATCGGCGTAAATCTAAACTCACCCACTCACTCCAGAGCAGCTGGACTATACCAGTGTAGTCTAACATAACATGTAACAGAATGTACCAGAAGAGAAACTTCTTGAAGCTTATGTATACTGGACCATATTAAAAACTAGGCATTTGTCCACAATGGATGTAGTGCGTACATTTTTATGAAAATAGATGCGTTACATACTGCTATCATCCAGGTAACGGTATCATTTTATTGGAAACGTGATGCATGACATTCCATGGCCTGCTGGTGCCAACTTTACACTGATGTAACGGAACAGAAGATGACATGTCAATGACGAGTGTGACTTCATTGGGCAGCCGTGAAGGCAACATGACGTCTCTCACGGACATGAGAAAAAGTCAGAGCGGTTTACTTCCTGGGTGCCACAGGGACGTATATGTCCTTCCTCTTCAACCCTCACTTTGAAGTCCAATAAAATCCTAAATACATCACACAAGTATACTTCACAGTTTCGAATTCTGTGGGACATTCCCTGGTTTTTTATACCATCCTATTATCTTAGCCAAAGCTAAAGTACTGTAAAAGACCTTTCAAAATAGGCTTCATCGTAAATGTCGCCATTTTTGACACCATACGAAATCGCAATTCACAGCGTTTTTTTGCTGTATGCTTTGAAATGTGAAAATCGGATAAATACTGGGAGTATTGAATTTAAAAAATAGCATATTAATGATCACGGATATCAGTTTTTCATGAAACCACTAATAATAATTCTGGAACATTGCCGATGAACTTAGAATCGGTTGGGATGTTTTCGAAAATACACCTACACGAACGCTGAAGTGCGCTTTCCGCCATATTAGATAGTGTTTACAAAATCACGTTTCGCGGAGGTCGGTATTGAGACGCCAATTACATCATGTATATTTCATATTCAGCTGCGACAAATGCATGACTGAATTCCCCATACATTTTAGAATCAAATTACAAATAGTCTTTGTCACCAATACCAATTGTCTAGATGAAATGAAACAAACGATATTGGGTGTGAAAACGAACGCTGTGCTCGAAAGACAGCGCTTGTTTGAAATGTAAACAAAGACAAATTCTGATTTTACACTGCGTAGTTTTTTCTGAAAATTTCCGACACCAAAACGTCTATTCATTGCTTGCAATGATTCAATACCTTAAGAATGTGCATGGAAAGAGTATCGTAGCAAGAAATAGGAAATTAAATATAGATACAATGCAATGATTTGATAATTCATAAGAAATTGTCAACGTTTCCCTGTGGCGTGACGCCATGACTGACGCAAAATCAAGCATCTAGCGACAACGGTAATTATCAGCATTTCTAGCTTCTTCTCTAACTTAAAGTTAAAATGATAAAAACATATAACAATACACAGATAGTCAGAATCATTCTGATTACTTAAATCTCATATTTATGTACAAACGATCCCTGAATCATGGGAAGGGTCCTCGCAAAATCCTGGGCACCCTTGTCAGCGAAGCCGCCATTTTGTAAGAAATCGGTCATTGGTAGTGATGTCATACGTCAACATTGTTGTACATATTAGGCAATTTCATTAAGGTGAAGGTCGGTCCAGTGAACACACTCGCCCTGTCCTTCCGATTACAGTTTCAGTATCATGATGTATATTTTGCGTATCGTTGAGATATTTTTTTATGAAACTAATTTCAGTATCTACATTTAGCCATGTTCAATATCTTACACGTGGATATAGCGTATACGTTTTTTATTCGTTGAAAGTTTTTGATTGTTTAAATAATATTTACATAAGAAAGTGACACATTTAGTGTAGTACACCATATTCTAAACCTTTGCACAAGTGTTAGAATCAAACGTAGCCGTAACTGCAACATGTACTTTAGTTCCTATGAGGTACAAGATTCAATACATTGGGACTAATATTGCAGTTTCATATGAAGGTTAATAAAAAGCGATGTAATTCAACCTTATAAGTAAAACTGATAATATAAATGAAAATGATTTATAGATTTTATGAAATGTGTATGCACACATATCTAAAGGAATTGTCTTGTTCATTAAATTTGTTTGTGTCGTTTTATACACAAAACAATGATGTACATATTGATTGGCCCTCAGCATACCAATGTCGTCGTTTTCCGACGTCGCAAAATACATAAAACAAGCAATGACGTCAACTAAAATGTTGTAATCTATTCAGTAATTTCATTACATTTGAAGATATGGCTAGTACTCAGTTAATAATAATGCAAAATTAGTCAAAATACATCTACACAAACAGGAGAATATGGGAATCTAAGAACTCATTTACATATCGGATAGGGCCAACCAAGTCGCTATTACGTGCTTTCTCATGTAGTACATTGTCATCTTTTCTTATAAATTGTGAAACTATGAAAGTGTCGAAAGAGTTCCAAAGTCTTATTTACACACCGAGATCTTTTAAACAATGAAGTGAAATGAGATACATAATTATCTACACACTAATGTCGTCTTTCGCGTCGCCTATGACATATACTACAATGGTGTCATCTTTCCTATAATTTCATGGCACGTGGAGCCTAGTTCTCTGTTAATGACAGTGCAACATTAGGCAACACATCTACACAGCAGGAGATTATGGTTATCTAAGAACATAATGGCACATCAAGTAGACTATCGATTTCGCTAATACGTCCACTCTCATGTTGTACATAGAGAATACTACACGAGGTCTCACTACATACGAATTATACAAAATGAGTGTCCTTCCTGTGGTATCTGACCGAGCGAAAGCGAGCTCAGAAACCATAGGAAGGTCACGACTTTGTGGTATTTTATTTATTACCCACGTCTTACATGCATTAAATTGACAAAGAAGCGTATATTTGTTATTGTTATGGTTTCAAACCGAAACCGGTTTCATAAAGAGGTTGCGGAAGAAGTTTGTTCAGGGCCCCGTTCCTCAAAGCAATCGTTACGCTACAATAGTTGTAAATCACTACAATCCAATTGTAACTTTAACTTACAATCACTCCACCGTTCCTCAAAGCAATTGTAAGTTACAATAGTTGTAAGTTACAATCACTTCCGTAAGTTGCTTATGACCGTCTGTAACTTACTTACGATCGATTGTTGCGTATAAACAAGATGGCGGCGTTTGCTGTAATTCATAAACAGAGGAGACAGAAATTTGGCCCTGAGAGGATATTTCGAGACCGTAGTCGTGTTCTTGTTGTTAACAATGACGCTGTAATATGTTCAAGGTACAGAATGCCGAGGGCTTCTATTCTTAAACTGGTAAGCATGCTAGAACCTGGGTTGTCCTCGAACACCCAGCGTTTATATGCAATCTCGGTAGAAAACAAGGTTTTGATTACTTTGCGATATCTTGCTAAGGGCGGATTTTTCTCCGAGCTTGGAGAAATCCATGGCACCGCAAAGTCAAGTGTATGCAGGGTGATTCACCCAACGATCAGAGGAATAATTGAAGTATTGAACAATATACATTTTCCTCTGTCGAATCAGCACCTCATACCATGATTGGCTTTTATGAGATCAGTGGCTTTCCAAAAGTGTTAGGATGTGTTGATGGAACTCTCATACCGATCAAGCGTCCCCCCATCGATGTCGAGCAAGCGTACGTTTGCAGGAAGGGCTACCATGCCATCAACGTACAGGGGATCAGTGACCACACACTAAGGTGAGTATTGTTTACAGTTACGCTGATCGAAAACCGGTATTTTCACATGCAATCGGAAAACTTCGTAACACTCGGAAATCTTCGGATATTTCCGTTTTTAAATTGTTCCTTTCCTTGTTTCATTTGTGCCAAACATTATTTACATTTTTATTTTGTCATGATTAAAAGTTTTTATTAAAGCCAAATCAAGCATTGTGATTTTGTTGTGTTTTTGCTTTATAAATCAAGCATTAACTCGACTATAAGTAGTTTTTTGTTAAAAAAGACTTCTTGCAATATATTGCAATACATATCGCAATACATGCTTTCGTATCGGAATATATCGCAATGTGAAAATTCCCTGCAATACCAACCCCTGTTACTAACATCTTCCGCTGTTGTGGTGTTAGGAGTTTACGTGGATGAGGAGATAACTCTAAATCTATTTCCTGTCTATGATGACAAGACTTTAAAATTTGAAAATAAACGTCCATAAAATATTAATTGTCTTAGTAATTTTCCGGTTAAAGGAATATTTATGGAAACAAATTATTGTGAAATATTCTTATGTAGCAGTTCATTTTTATGCTTATGAAGGATATATTTTCAATTTGCTATCATCATATTTTTTGAATTTTATTATTAACATATTTTGTAATAATAATACGTGTATGCATTATAAATTTCCAACAAGAAAAAAATAATGCCTGCCTTTCAGCACAGACAAAACAGATAGATTTCACATTCCTTGACATCTGTTACAAACAGTGATTTACACATAATGACATAATTGAATTTGTTTTGACTTGCAGAATCAGCAATGCAGTTGCAAAATGGCCAGGCTCAAGCCATGACTCCTCTATATTGAACAACAGTCAAGTTGCAGAGCTCCTTGACACTGGGAACCTGCCAGGGGTATTGCTCGGAGACTCGGGGTTAGTATCATTTACCTCAAACAAAATATACTGTGATACTATTGACATAATCTTCTGTCTGATTAACCCCCAAAATGAGAGTAACCAATAAATTTTCATATTTCACAATATATTAAATAATTAAAGGAAATACTGAAATAGTTGAATAATTTTGGTATAATGTTGGTAGATTTGCTACTAAATGACTTGTGATTACATGTAAAAAATTGTATACTGTTCCACAGTTACGGATGTAAGCAATGGCTCTTGACCCCAGTACTGGAGCCCAGAAGGAAAGCTGAACAAAAGTATAACACCGCCCACATGAAAACTCGCAACACCATCATGATGTTTATCGATTTAGTAACATAACTGTTTTATAACAATATTTCTGTCACGTTACAAGTTTGTTAAATCAATATTGAAAGATAATCAGATTCGATTATCTTCCAACAAAGAATGAATAACTTGAAAGGACCACACAAAAAGGAATGGATATTGTTATATTCTCAAGTAACAAGGTAACATAAGTCAACAATTTGACATAGAATTTATAAGAAATGGTCATATCTATCCTGTGTTAATGTTAAAAAGTTTAGAATAGCACTGGCACGATTCAGATGCTCTTCTCATGATTTGTTGATTGAAAGAGGCAGATATATGAATAATAAAAAGAGAAAATAGAATATGTACACTTTGTAATTTTAACGAAATAGAAGATGAATTACATTTTCTCCTAATATGTCCATTTTATGACCAGTTGCGAACAAAATATATTAAAAGATATTACTATGTCCATCCAAATGTGATAAAATTCTCTTCACTGTTAAGTAGTAAAAATCCAGTTCTTCTACAAAATATTTCAATGTTCATTTACTATGCTATGATTACCCGATCTAAATTCCTCTCAAATGTAACATAACTTTATGTACTATAGGCCTGTGGCCTTCTCAGTGCAAATAAAGATTATTATAAGAAATGGTAACATATGTAAATGACCTTATTGGTCCGATGGAAAAGGGTAAACGACTCCAGTTAAAGGTCATGGTAAATCTTGCCATTTGGCTGGTAAGAGATATATTGAATCCCTTTGGTAAAATATACTTATATTGTTCCTATTCAATTCATGGATCTGCATACAGCATTGTATATTCAACAGGTGTTTACACAAAACGACTGGTTGCCTGCCATTCAGCACTGACAAGTGTTGTAAAGTCATTATCGCATGCATGAAGCTTCACAATTACTGCATGGATGAGAAAGTGCCGCTACCAGAGCTACACGAGGAGCATGAAGACCCCTCTCATCACCATCTGGCGTCAGATGTCATCCATGCCAATGATGGACTCTCACTCAGAAACAAGATCATTCAACAAGTAATCAGCCAGTCGTAAGTATGTTGTTTTGAATGGTATGTCTAATATTAGCTCTAATACTAGCATTACAGAATTAAGATACATGACAATTTCAGTATTAACCGAATTTAAGTCAATGAATTATTGCCAAAAGAAAGTGGTTCTAAAATTATTATTATATCTAATACACTTAAATAAACTTAAAATGAACTATGTATTTTGTTAAAACAACTTATTATTTTTGGCACATATTCTGGTTTAAATATATCAAGACAATTTAAATATGAAAATTAAATTTACAGATGCAGGTCAAAATACACTTATAATATAAGATTCATTTGGAGTACAAGATCAATGCATTTCCTGTAAGGTCCATAACATTAAATACTATGAAATTGAAACAAATGCCTTGAATATTAGACTATTACTTTCCTTCAAAAAAGCTTATTTTCCCAATCAAACCGAATTGGATATCTATACAAGAAACAGGGGGATTGGGATGAAAGAGAATTGAAATACAAAAGTGGATTAAGTGGGTAAGTGATACATGCTTATATTCACTCTGACTTCATGTACATTACTAGTACATATACTAGCCACATAAAGAAACTGTGCATTGTCAAAATATTATCCCAGTTGATAAGTACGATCACAATGTCAAAGGTACATATAACCTTTAATGGAGGGATCATGAGACCATAACAAGTCGGGAGAATTTCAATTGAAAAGTCAATCACAATGACGTCACGAGTCCACAAGCGGGACAGGGGTCAAACGACCATGTCACAAGCTCAATAACGTGTATGTCCACCATCGGCATTGAGAACAGCAGTGCATCGACGACGCCTAGAGCCTATCAAACGTGCAAGGAAGGCATGTGGGATGTCACGCCAGATTCTCTCAAGTTCTGTTGCAAGGTCAAGAACGTTATCTGGCGGATGAGGAAGACGGCGTAGACGTCGATCCATCTCGTCCCAAACATGCTCTATCGGGGAGAGATCCGGTGAATTTGCAGGCCAAGGCTGTAAGTCAACGTTGTGGTGTTGCAAGAAATCCATAGCAACCCTTGCCGTATGAGGGCGGGCATTGTCCTGTTGGAAGGTTAACCCAGGGCCATGACGTTGCAGAAAAGGAATTGCCACAGGTCGAAGAATCTGATCCCTGTAGCCCACACCAGTTAAGTTGCCCTGAACAATCACCAAAGGAGTTCTTTGGCGTGCTGTTATTCCACCCCAAATCATCACGGAACCACCACCAAAGCGATTCCTCTCCAAGACACAGGCCTGTGCATAACGTTCTCCCACGCGTCTATGGGCACGTTGACGTCCATCACTATGGGAAATGTTAAACCTGTACTCATCTGTAAAAACAACATTTTTTCACCAAAACAAGGGTCTGCGGACATGATTTCGGCACCACATTAGGCCGTATGGCGGGACGTCGTGGTCTGATCCCATGATGACGTAAACGTTGTCGAACTGTGTTGGGGTGGATACGGCGAAGTTCTGGGATGGTTCTGGCAGTCATCACTGCAGTCTGAAACCTGTGGCGAAGATGGGTCACCCTTATCCATCTGTCCTGTCTTGGCGTTGTTACACGTGGACGTCCATAACGTGGCCGATCGATGACGCCATTTGTGTTCTGGTAGCGTCTCACCAGTGCAGAAATGGTGTTCCGGTGGCAGTGGAAATGTGCAGCCACTTGTCGTTGAGACATTTCCCCACGGACCATCCCAATGGCCTCATGACGTTGTGCAGACGTGAGCCTTGGCATGCTATGCGTTTCAATAGCCGTTTAAGTTTTTGAACGATCGCAAGGGCAGGGGTTGAGCTTTCCAAAGTGGCATTATTGTGTGGCATTCATTTGCTCTGTTTCTCTTTCCCGGAATGCACGTGCAACAACGTATTGCACGTCTCAAGGACGAACCCACTGACGTCACGGAAAGTGGCACGTGCATGCATGTTGGATACATGTCACTAATCTCTGAGTTTAAATCCTTATGTGTCTACACAGGTTTGATAAATTTAGATTTTCAATTTTTGTATACACAGTTTCTTTATGTGCCTAGTTTATAATCGAAAAAACCCGATGGACATAATTTTGTAAATTTGCACATTGGTTTTTCCATTCATACCTCTATGAACCGGAAAATACACAATCAATGCTCATAATTAATTATAATTAAAAAGAAATATGATATCTACCAAAGTTATATGGCTTAAACATATTTATATTTCCAAAGAAATCTGGATCGGTAAGAAAGCAAAATTTGCTTATGTAAACTCTCCAGGTAATGAGTTAACACAGTTGGTTATTATACGTTGTATAAGATAGTGCTATACATAATTACACAAATGGAATATGTAAAGTCAGTACTTTGAAGTCAAATTATTTATTATTAACAATCATATAAATTTACGCAGGCATATATTACGAGATTGATAAACATTCCAGGCGAAGAAATATACATACCTACATGGGCGTGACGTGTATCGGGTGATTGTGTAATTTATTGTTGACGAAGGTTTCGGTAGGTCTGGCGTTCTAACGGAAATAAGCAGTGAACAATATTGGTGACTTCCCACTGTGACCACTTACGACAATGACTACTGCTTTCACCGTCGTCACGAATAATCACAAAAAAAATTGAATCGCGAAAAAATCATTGTGGTCACTCGTTCTGGTCACATCTACACCGGGTACCTTTCTGTAAGCACAGACGTTCCCCAGCTTGGCAATAATGACGGCATTGAAGACAGGATGTAAGTGAGTTAGTAAGTATAGTGTTAGGTCGATTTTTCAGTTTTTCATATATGGTACCTATGCTGGGAAACAAACCCGGGCCTTCGGTGTGACTTGCGAACTCGTCATCCACTGTGCTATCCGACCGCCCTTAAAGATTATGAATAGCATAGATTTTGTTGACGCGACAAGGGGAAACCGGTTTCTTACAATCCGAAAACCGTATCGAGAGGTGTGACGTACCTTCAGCCTTGGGTGTATGTTTGTGAACAGACAGAAACCTGCGATACATTTCCCTTGTTGATGTGTCCCCTGGAGCACCGGTTCCAGTCTCCCGTGTGTGTGTGTGTGTGTGTGTGTGTGTGTGTGTGTGTGTGTGTGTGTGTGTGTGTGTGTGTGTGTGTGTGTGTGTGTGTGTGTGTGTGTGTGTGTGTGTGTGTTTTCAAGTTCAATTGTTTCCGTCGCTAACCACAAAAAACGTGAAAAAAATCGTTAATTGGTTTTAATCTCGGCCGTCCTCGTTACATGTAAGGGAGACAACTCTCACAGTCTTGTAAGACGGCTTTCATTACAACTGTAGGTAACACTGAACTGTAAGGTGTCATCACTGATTTTCAGTGGATTTTCAAGCTATTTGATCCTTTCCAAATGAAATCTGTTTCTGAGAATTGTCAAGGCTGGGTATTGCACTGACTATATATATTTTGTTTTTTGGCTAATAGAATATATCACATTCACCTCAATCTGAAAAATGTAAGTAGTAAGCGACAGCTCCCCAAGTTGCTTCCAAGTTCCAAGTAGCTTCCACATGTAATCGTATCCCAATGGTGTAGATCGATGCTCATGCTGTTGATCACTGGATTGTCTGGTCTAGACTCGATTATTTACAGACCGCTGCCATATAGCTGGAATATTGCTGAGTGCGGCGTTAAACTAAACTCACTCACTCACTCACTGAATACGTTTGAGACGGTCCCTGATCAGGCTGCACAGATTGCAACTCGCTTCACAGACAGGTAATAAGATTGCGTTACCTGGAGGAATAAATGTGCGAGTTGCGAAGTACATGTATGTTAAGGAACTGTCTGTATATAATTGTCACGACAAACGACACTAAAAACGAAATAACTGCTGCTTATTATGACAAAAACACAAAGAAATATGGAACCACTTGTCTGACACGATATTAACCTGCCAGGGGCCATCGTAAAGGCACTTTGTTCGAATTGTGCTCGTAACATACTTTCACTGCCCTATAGTGAAAGTGTGTTACAAGCCCAATTCGAACCAAATGAGCGTCAGTTCTGTTTGTGGTAACTTCGCTGTGCCTGAATATGTTATTAATGTTCATCTCCGACGTGTAACATATGTTATATTTGGGATTACACTTTCTCAGTAAAGTACAGATTCTAGTACTTTTTGGGGGGCTTTGGCTGAGCGGTCTAGGCGTCTGACGTTGTGTGCTGGCGATTAAGTGCCTGACTCTGAGGGTGTGGGTTCGAATCGGGATGGGACTCAACCCCCCCAAAAGAACTAGAATCTGTACTTTACTGATAGAAAGTGTGATCCCAAATATAAAATATGTCACATTTGACCACTTTCTAAAATGGGCGTGATTTGTTTCTTTTTTGTTCTCCGCACTCAGCAATATTCCAGCTATATTGCGGCAGACTGTAAATAATCGAGTCTGGACCAGACAATCCAGTGATCAACAGCATGAGCATCGATCTACGCAGTTGGGATACGATGATGATGTGTCAACCAAGTTAGCGAGACCACTCGAGTTAGCCGCTTCTTACGAGAAGCATGGCTTGCTGAAGACAATCTCTAACCCGGATCTTCACGGGTAACGACGTGATATCTCATTGACTTCGAACAACCAGTTAGACTTGATTCTGGACCAAAATAAAATAATATACTTGAAAACTGAATTGGACAAAAAAGAACGCTGTCCATACGTTACCACAGTCAAAACGGTCATCGAAGTAAAGCAAACTGCACACTTATCTTTAGAACGAAGTACCACACACGCGAAATCATCTCACAAGATGAAGTTGAATATGAGATTTATTGATGTTCTACCGAAACACAATTCCATATCACCCCATTCACTAAAAGGGGCGGTGGGGTAGCCTAGTGGTTAAAGCGTTCGCTCGTCACGCCGAAGACCCGGGTTCGATTCCCCATATGGGCAAAATGTGTGAAGCCCATTTCTGGTGTCCCCCGCCGTGATATTGCTGGAATATTGCTAAAAGCGGCGTAAAATCAAACTCACTCACTAACTCATACACTAAAGT